TAGCTCTTCCACACCACACTCGCCAAAGTAATCCCTGAGTAGCCCAAAGCAGTTCTTCCATAGCACACTCACCAATTTGATCCCTGAGTAGTTCAACGCAGCACTTCCACAGCATGTTCACCAAAGAGATCCCGGAGTAGCCCAAAGTAGCTCTTCCACAGCACGTTCCCCAGAGTGATCCCTGAGTATTCAAGCTAGCTTTTCCACAGCACGTTCACCAAGGTGATCTCTGAGTAGCCCAAAGTGGCTCTTTCACAGCACGCTCGCCAAACTGATCCCTGTTCACCAAAGTAATCCCTGAGTAATTCAACGTAGCACTTCCACAGCACATTCACCAAAATGACCTCTGAGTATTCACACCACATTCACCAAACTGATCCCTGAGTAGCCAAACCTAGCTGCCTAGCTCTTCCACAGCACATTCACAAACTGATTTCTAAGTAGTTCAACTTAGCTTGTCCACAGCAACCACAGTTTTTAGTAGCGCAACTTAGCTTCTCCACAGCACATTTACCAAAGAGATCGCAGGATAGTTGTAGACTTGTATTGTACTTATCAAAGCAGTTTTTTCCCCACCCGTAGGACTGTGGGGCTGTTAGATTTTAAGAACTTTGGACTTCAGCAGACTCGCTACTTCTGCACATCCACCAGAGTGGTCCCAGCATAGCTCAGAGCAACCCAAAGAACACAGCACATCCACCAGAGTGGCCCTTACACAGCACATCCACCAGAGTGGCCCCGAGTAGCCCAGCGTAGCCTTTACACCAGCACATTCACCAGAGTGCTCACAAGTACCAGTTCCACAGCATATCCACCACAAGTTGACTTGGCAGGGATGTGGGGTTGCCAGGCATTAAAATATCGAAGTTCAGAAACCTCACAAGTAAGTATTCGATGTGTGGTTTTGTTTTCAATAAAGAATCCTTTTCGCGCCGAACCGCTTTTCTCTTGTGAAGACCAATTCTTTGAGGGTGGGGAATTTCGAAGTAAAGTAATTCAGGTGGAACAGTGCAACGTCTTGCTTTGAAAGGATTGTCAAACACATCAAACACCGGATTCAAGCCGCTTTGGAGCAGAACTGTGGCAAACATCAACAAATCCCTTAAAAAGGCAACGTCCGGGATAGGAATTTGGTGCTCGAATGTTGTATGAAATGTTCCAGTCGCACTCTAGTCATTGATTGAACAAGAGACCATATTCATGATGTTTTTGTTGATGTTAATTGATGGACGTTTTGTAGTGTGGAATTAAAAGGGTCCAGGCCCCGGTACTAGATTTAATACAAACATAGGATTAATAAACCTCCCCTAGTTAATGCGAGCCCACAAAGCCTCGAAAAATTGACAAAATTACTACTACTACTACTACTACTACCACTACCACTACCACTACCCCACTACCACTACCACTACCACTACTACTACGACTACTACTACTACTACTACTACTACTACCACTACCTACTACCTACTACCTACTACCTACTACTACCTACTACTACCTACTACTACCTACTACCACCTACTACCACCTACTACCTACTATCTACTACCTACTATCTACTACCTACTATCTACCTACTACCTACTACCTACTACCTACTACCTACTACCTACTTCTACTACTACTACTACCTATACTACCTACTACTACTACTACCTATACTACCTACTACCTACTACCTACTACCTACTCCTACTACTACCTACTACCTACTACCTACTACCTACTACCTACTACCTACTCCTACTCCCTACTACCTACTACCTACTACCTACTACCTACTACCTACCTACTACCTACTACCTACTACCT